TTCCAGGAGGCCACGACCGCCACCGCCGGCGGTCATGTCGTGAAGACCGCCACTGCCGGCGGTTATCAGTGCAAGACCGCCGGAAGGCGGCGGTCATCCGCTCACATGGCCTTTGGGTCAATAGATCGGGCCCGCCTGGAAAATTCCGAAAAAAATTCAGGAAAATTTTTGGGAGGAAGAGAGAGAAAGACTAGGGGAGAGAAATTAAAAGAAAAGAGAAAAGAAAAGGGAGAAGGCGTACCCGGTTGATAGGATCAAATTGTTTACTGAGATAACGGGCATCTATTGATGTTTACTTGCATTTGCAGTAAAAAATGTTTCATGCATAACTTAATCAGGGGCACGGTACCCCCACTTACGATTATCAAGGGTACAACAAACCCTTTTTACACTCAATGATGGGTTGAAACACCTGAGGAAAACCGATACTAAAACCTGTCTCTAAAACCATGACAAGATGTTAGGGGCATCACACCCCCACTTTTGGTTTGTATGTCTCAAGGGACATGACACACCCAACTTCCTTCAAGCACACTAGAGAACCCGGAAGCACATGAGAATAGATAACCTACTAGGGACGGCATAGGGGCATGTGACCCAACCAGCAAGACAATGAGAGAGCTTAAGAGGTGAGGTAATTGAAACAGTAAGGCATGAGGGTAGACTAGAAGCCGGGACCCAGCACCCGCGAACTGTAAGATGAGGGTAAGCCCTAAGAAAAACCCAAAGGAAACCAAACCAAAAGCCGGGAGAAACCAGAAGTGAGCAAATCAGAAACCGGGACCTAATTCCCGCTAACCAGAGAGATGAGGAAAATCAGTAAACCAAGAGCCTAGCCCTTGCAAACCCTGAGAGTGGATGACCTTGAGAAGTATAAGCCAAAAGTCGGGGGCCCGGTTCTCGCAAACCGTGGGATGAGATGATTCCCAAGCCACGAAGTGGAACTTTCTCGATGAGAGATGTTGGGGCATGTGATGCCCAAGGCATAGACAACACAGTTGCGAAGCGATATCTTAGACGATGGTAGGGGCACGAGAAGCCTAGAGACTAGATAGCCATGCCGTGAGATGGAATTTTTGACAAAAATCAGATGGCGAAGCCATTCGGGATGAGATGATTCCCGAGACTTAGGATGAGATGTTTCCCAAGTCAAAACCCAGCTGACAAGGATGGGAGTATTCTTTCTTGATAGATGAGATGATTCTATCACCTCGGGATGAGATGATTCCCGAGACTTGGGATGAGATGATTCCCGAGACTTGGGATGAGATGATTCCCAAGTCGAAACCCAGCTGACAAGGATGGGAGTATTCCTTGTTGATAGATAAGATGATTCTATCGCCTTGGGATGAGATGATTCTCAAGTCAAAACCCAGCTGACAAGGATGGGAGTATTCCTTGTTGATAGATGAGATGATTCTATCGTCTTGGGATGAGATGATTCCCAAGTCAAAACCCAGCTGACAAGGATGGGAGTATTCCTTGTTGATAGATGAGATGATTCTACCGTCTTGGGATGAGATGATTTCCAAGTCAAAACACATCTGACAAGGTTGAGAGTATTCCTTGTTGAGAACCTAATTCTATCACCTCGGGATGAGATGATTCCCGAGACTTTGGATGAGATGATTCCCAAGTCAAAACCCAACTAACGAGGGTGGGAGTATTCCTTGTCGACCACCCGATATATGAGATGATTCTATCACCTCGGGATGAGAAGATTTCCGAGACCGGGGATGAGATGATTCCCAGAATCCGAGGGCTTGTCCCTCAAAACTTCAGGATGAGATGATTCCTGGAGAGGAGCATGGGATGCTCCAAAACTTGACACAGGCCACACATTCATCATTCAAATTTGGAGGTTCTTGTCTTACGTTGTTTCGTCCTTAGTTCTTAAGGACCCATCAACGAGGGGCATCTGTGAACACCCAAATTTGACCCACGAATATTTTACTAAAACTAGATTCCAAACATGCTTAACTTGAGGTTAGTGAAATGATCTGATTTTGAGTTAAGGTATAATAAGAATTTAATTTAGTAAAATTAATGTATTTTGGTAATCTAAACCTTTGTGCTTCCAAACCTTAGGATTAATAAGAAGATTTACTCTTAGGGTAAAACATATAATAAGGTTTATTCACATTAAAATACATTTCAATTTATTGCTTGGGCTCTTTTAGTTGTTTTTAACCCAATTATATTGAGATGATTTATTTTTGGGTTAGGAATGGGTTTAAGGGTCCAAATAAATGGATTCTCCAGAGTTTACCCAGCCCATTAACACATTTCTTGCAGGATAATTTTAGCCCTGATTTTCGTGGAAAATCAGAGCCAAATCATCATTTATATAGAAATGTTGTTTTTGGTATGATTTAGTATGAAATAGGCATTAAGGTGTAATCAAGCTGTTATGGAATGATTTAGGGGGAGTGATAATCAAGTAATTGAGTGATTCTCGGTTGACTAGGGGTTGATTACGTGGTATGATCAAATCAGGGCTGAATTAGGGGGATTGGAGGCTGAAAAAGGAAAGAACGGGTGACACGCGGGGTAACCGACGGTCATCTCGCGACGACCGCCAGGTGCTGGCGGTCATCCCCACATGACCGCGGGCACTGGTGGTCATCCAAAAGATGACCGCCGTCCAGAATCTCCAATTTTCACCGATTTTGTTCCTAATTCGATCCTACGCGGATTTGGACCAGATTTTCGGGCATAATCTTCACCATTAAACAGGTCCACGCCCCTATGCTTCCCGGAGCACTATAAATAGGACCCCTCATACACATTTCAAGGTATCACACACTTTTCTCACATACACACCTATAAGCCTTGAGTGCTTGGAGAAACTCTATTTTTCCAAGCCTAGAAATACATTCTTTAGGCAGAAACTCTGGAGGATTTTCGTGGGAGGCATTAGCAGTGGTCTAGCAAGGAGAGGTCAAGAAGAGAATCAACCATAGAGCTTAGAAACGGCAAGAAGGTGGGTGTAGAACTCAATCTATTGCAAGAAGCTAGAGGAGGGCTGCAAGAGGTAACACTAAACTCTCTTTTTGATTGATCAACATTGATTATATGCTGATGCTTTTGATGATGTAAGTGGCCAATTTGTGCCATGTTTAGAACTACGTGGCTTTGACCCCGATCACTCGGGTACGTAGGTAGTCCCGGTCTTACAACGGGATGCAAGCCAAATCTTCTTCTTCTCCCCTTCTCTTTACTTTCCACACCTGCACACTTGCACCAGGCGTACTTGCATTTCATAATTGCACATAGTCTCAACCCAACACGGATGGGTGCCTAACACCTTCCCATCTGTGACGAACCCCCGATCCCATAACTTTGGTTCGCCATGACCATGTAGCCTAAAGGAGTCATATTAAGGTTTTTCCCAAGTTTTGTCCTTAATAAAACTTGGGTGGCGACTCCAATGTTATGGGATTGACCCGAAGAAGAAGGTGAAAGGATTAGGTGAATAGGCCCAAGTGATTTTAGGTCGGGTATTCACACAGGGTTAACTAACGTTAGAGCCGGGTGGGTATTCGACAAAAAAAAAAAGTTAGAGCCGGGTGGGTAACGTTAGAGCAGGGTGGGTACTGGGTAGTATATCTGACAATCTTTAAATTTTAAGGATCTAATAAAAAAATAGATATTTATTAAAAATATTTTTAATTTTCCAGGATGGAAAAAAACTTGCCACATGGCCCTATCACAAGGGAACATGTGGGGTATGTATGGGTGCATACTATTAAAGGGCAGCACCGAAGTATTCACCTTTTCTTTAAGCATTTCAACTGAATAAATTGAGACTGCTGGCTTTGTAGAATGTTAGACATAACTGTATGATTTATAGGTTTCTTTGGTTCCATTGCAAAAAGCTTTTCTGATGCCCATCTTGCTAATTTTACATCACCATGAATTTTGCATGCACCAATGAAGGCTGCCAAGGCATCAGATCCATGCTCTATCGAGAATCCTTAGTAACTTTAGCATTATTGAAATACTATTAACAATAATACTAAAAATACACTGTAACTCTCACTAAAAAACTCTTACTAACTTAGGTGGCATACTCCACATCATTATTTTTATTAATGCATGCCATGTAATTTATGTCACACACACTTTTGAATTTCTATTTTAAAAACTTAAATTACATTATTTCTATTCTTTTGGTAGTGTTCATCAAGTACAATACAAAAAATAAAAGGCCACCCTTGATAGCCCTGGACGCCGTCGAACCAAAAACAGAGCATTTTTATGTTGCCTCCGCCACCACAGCCGAACTGCCACAGCCTCTCTATAGTAGACGAGATAGATTAACATTAACACCCCATCAACATGAAATCAACGGTAAAAAAAGAGTTACTGAACCGAATCCGGAGAAAAGGAAATTGGTCAAAATGTTTAGATGGGTTGGTCAGAAACAAAATCAGGATGGGCATGACTCATTGCAGCCCATTATTTAAATATTGTCTGGGCCTGGGACCCAACCCAATAAAAACAAACGGCCTATTCATGAGAACAATGGTTCATGACTCTGTGTACCATGTTAATTAGGAGTGAGCAAAACGTCGGTTCGGCATATGCCGTGCCGAAACAGTGATTGGTACGACTTCTCCGAAGGGTCATTTTTCCGACCGATGCCGTGCCAAAGTTCCCCTCATGCCGATCGGCATGGTGCCGATTAATACCGACGTCGGTTCGGTCGGTACGTTTGTCGACCGATTTTCAAACTTCATATACCCTTTTCTTCTTTTTCCACAAAAGTTGACGGTAGGGAAGGAGAAGAAATCAAAGAAATTGGAAAAAAGGAAATGAAAATCATCATTGCCCACAGCAAAAATAAACCCAAAAATCAATCAATATTGACAAAAAAATTGTTTCTAAAAAATAATTAAGACTACACCACCATCATCACAATTTATTAGGGGTGGAAAATAACCCAAAATCCATCAAAAACACTGTCATCATCCACTGAAAAAGCACAACAATAGAAATTAGGGAGGGATCGAGTTCTCTGAGACCTTCTGTTGGATCTTGCCAGGGACGTCCTTAAACAGACCCGACATCACCTTCTGCTGGAACGGCGACAAAGCATACACCACCGCCTTCATCCTCACCGGTTGCTTCCCCATCTCTCATCTTCCTTTTCTTCTTATATTATGAAAAACCAACTTACTAAACGTATTTGCGAAATTCGGTGTTTGTTTTGGGTTGTGAGTATTGGGGATTTGGGGATCCAATTGGGGAAATTAGGGTCTGTTGAATTAGGGACTTAGGATTTTTGTGTTGAGACTAGAGAGGTAGGGGAGACTACAAGGGGAGGGAGGGAAGGAAGGATTTGCTCAACTAGCTTTGGCAGACGGGGTGGCGATGGCATGCGCAGCGGAGACAGAGGGAGGGGGCCGGTTGCTTGCTTCGTCTGTCAAGATAGAGCTTTGAAGGAGAGAGAGAGAGAGAGAGAGTGTGGTGAGTAATTTTTTAGGGTTAGTATCAAATGCATTTAATTTTTGTTGGTTGCCGATGGGAGGAGAATTAGATGTTGGGCTTTGGGTATTTCATTTCTGGAGGTGTGTGCTTTGGGCCTGTCGGTTTGGCCTGTGCCGAATACCGACGGTTCAACCCTCATCCTACCAATTCATTTCACCTTTCCAATCGGCACGGTACAAATATGCTAGGTGGCTCGAAGACCCTCCCTTTATTCGAGCCGATACCGTCGGTATGACGTCGGTATCGGTTCGACCCAGTCGGTACGGGTATTTTTGCTCAGCCCTAATGTTAATATGGATTGGAAGATTTTCGCGGGCTTGTTTTGTGTAAAACAGGTCTCGTCATCAACCGTTTTATGAAGTGAAATGTCTTCCCTTGAATGCCAATTGCCACTACATATATCACTATCAGCTCTGAAAATTTGAGGGTGAGGTAGCATCTATGTGTATAAATAATAAATTTATGATTAAATACTGATTAAATATATTAATTATTTATAGAAGATAAAAATAAAAACTTAATATCTCTTCCAAGTATATTAATTATTTATATAATATTACCCAAAAAAAGTTATTTATAGAAGATAAGAATGGAAAACCTAATATCACTTTCTCAATTATTTTCTTTCTTCTTCCCTCCACCGGCAACACTCGTTCCAGTAAGGGGAAAAAAATCAAAATTTTCTCAATTTATATTCATCTTTTCCTTCCCTTGTCCAAAATTTACAAAAATTGAAGGAGGTGATCCGGTTGTCATTGTACTGGAAAACAAAGTTTTGCTACAATTAAGGATTACAGGAAGTTCGCATCAAAAAAAAAATTACAGGAAGTTGAACCGTATCAAACCCAGTAGTTACTCATGAATCATGGTACCACAGGACAACACTAGGATTCGTCTTATTGGACGAGACTGTTGAAACAAGCTTTCATGTCAAGACCAAACTACTGGATCTGGACCCGACCAATATTAAAGTGAGAGAGCATTACATAGGGAGATTCTAAGATTGCCCCATTTGCTCAACCAGAGAAACCAGAAAGTTTTAAACCTGAACCAAGACCATTAACTCAAAGATAAAGTGAAACGGCAGAGTTTCTTGGTGGAAATTAGAAGGACCATAAACCAAGACCAGGATGGGTGAAACGGTTTCTTGGTGGAAGATCAATGACGAATCGATTGAAGAAGAACAAAACAGATTTTGATGAGAAAAGAAGGATAAGAAATATTGATAGGTTTTAATCGAGTTACAACGGAATTGGTATATCTGTAATAATTATTTGAGAATTATTGGTGAGAATTATTGATGGGTAAGCTTTTTTGCATTAGGAGTTAAGGGTCATGAACAACCTTAGCCATGGCTAAGGAAGCGGGAATAAGAAGGAATTGTCAGATTGTATTTGTTGTCTCCTTCGGCGCTTGATTGATGATGGGGAAGAAAATAAAATGAAATAGATTTTAGGTTTTGGTTTTTTATGTTTGAAAAATAATTAATAGAATAAATATCAATTCAACACATAATTAAAGATTTTTTTTTTATTTATACACATAGGATGCCACCTCAATCCTAAAAATTTGAGGATAATGTATGTAGTGACAAATAACATTATTGAATAAAATATTAAGGATTGAATCCTCCATTTCATTTTGGTAGTAATATATGAATGCTGGGATTTTCAAATTCATCAAGATCTTCTCGCCTTTCTTGCCACAAATTTAAAGGAAATTCATTAAAAAGTTAATAGGAACTGAACGTAACAGATTCTCAGAGAATACCGAAACAGAAACACAGAGAAGAAACTAAGACTGAATAGAGAATGCTATTAATGATTCACAAAAACTGAGTTACAAGTGTTGACTGTGCTATTTATACTTCCCAACACAATAGCTGTACGACATGTAGCTCATAGCCACATTCGTCCACGACACCTCAACTGACTAAAAGGCTTTGATTCGACACAGTGAAACGATGTCGTATCAATACTCCCTCCTTAAAAGATAGACATCTATGCAAAACATAGCTCTTACCCACACTGGCCACACTACTTAGAAAACAGACACAAGAATGCAACTCATCAACAGAAAATCTTCTAAAAGGCAACACTTACTTCACTTCCTCGTACTGCAAACATCATTCTATAGTCACCCTTCAAATTCTGGAAAACGGGCCATGATCTCATCAGACCATTCCCATGAAGCATCAGATGGAGAACAGCCTGCCCAATGAATCAACCATTTAGTTATAGTAACACCACCTCTCCTCACTGGTTTGCGTTCCAAAATTGCAGCAGGAACCTTCACTTCTTCATTAATGAAACAAGGTAATTCCCCTGAACCTATTAACACAGGCCCTGGTGCAGCCTTAAGTTGTGAAACATGAAAGACATCATGCACCTGAGCACCTGTAGGCAGCTGCAGCCGATAAGCCACCTCCCCCACTTTTTCAATCACCTTGTAAGGGCCGAAATACCTTGGTGACAGCTTCTGCGATACACGGCGCGGCGCTGAACAGTTTGCTGCCGATAAGGCTGCAATTTTAAAAAGACCTAGTCACCAGCTGCAAAGACACGATGGCTTCGGTGTCGATCAGCTTGCTGCTTCATCCTCCCTTGCACCCTTAAAAGTTGCTCTTTAAGAAGCTGAATGGTATCTTCCCTATCCAAGAGAGTGCGGTCCAGCACTTCAATATCAGAATCACCTAGAAGGTAGGGAACGTGAACAGGTGGTGGAATGCTGTATAAGGCTTGGAATGGAGTACATTGCAAACTGGAGTGAAAAGTGGTATTATACCACATCTCGGCCAAAGGCAACCATTTGGATCATTCTTTCGGCTTGGACCCTGTTGCACACCTCAAGTATTGTTCAAGGCCACGATTCACTACTTCTGTCTGACCGTCCGTTTGTGGATGATATGCAGAAGAGTAGTGCAGGTCCACTCCTTGAACTCGAAACAATTCCCGCCAGAACTTGCTTAAAAACACTGCATCCCTATCAGAAACAATCACTAGAGGCATCCCATGCAACTTCACCACTGAATCCAAAAAAGTTTGAGCAACCAAGGAAGCTGAATATGGGTGAGGTAAAGCACAAAAATGCGCATACTTGGTTAATCGATCAACAACCACAAGAATCAGCTCCTTCCCATTTGATTTTGGCAACCCTTCAATAAAATCCATGGTAATGTGTGTAAACAAAGAGTTAGGCAATGGAAGAGGTTGTAACAACCCCGGTGACGCCACTCTTTCATACTTATTCTGCTGGCAAATGACACATAGGCGGATGAATTCACGAACATGCTTGCCTAATCCTTTCCACCATGATAAAGACTTCAACCTCTTAATTGTTGGTGTAACACCTGAATGACCACCCCAAGAACTAGCATGGAATAACTCCACGAGGCGAGATTGTAACTGGGAATCATTGCCAACCACCAACTTCCCTTTGCGTCGTAATAACCCGTCATTCCAAGAGAACTTGCCTAAAGAATGAGTGCCCAAGTGCTCCATCTCCTGTATTTTAGCGGCTAACAAAGAATCCTGCTGCCAACTATGTTTAATATCAGACAATAAGGAGGAATCCAAATCAGCCAGCAACATGGAATAAAGGGCGTTACCTGGCACTCGGGAAAGGGCATCTGCAGCAGCGTTATCCACACCGCGCTTATACACTATCTCATAATCCATGGCGAGCAATTTCGCTAACCAAGTGGACTGGCTGATTGTGGTTAAGCGTTGCTCCAAAAGAAACTTCAAACTGCGGTGGTCAGTTCGAATAATGAAATGATGATCAAGGAGGTATTGCTGCCATTTCTTCACTGTAAAGAGCACCGCCAACAACTCCTTCTCATACACCGACAACACCTGATGTTTAGGAGACAAGGCACGACTAGCATAAGCAATAGGATGCTCCTTTTGCATTAGGACAGCTCCAATTCCCACCCCCTGAAGCATCAGTTTCTAAGACAAAAGGTTCAGCAAAATTTTGAAGGGCCAACACTGGTGTCGTAACCAAGACTTGCTTGAGGTGATCAAAAGCTTCCTGGGCTGCCACGGTCCACACAAAAGCATCTTTCTTCGTGAGGTCATGTAAAGGTCGTGCAATGACTCCAAAATGGCGAATGAATTGCCTATAATACCCTGCCAACCCAAGGAACCCACGCAATTGCTTAAGAGTAGTGGGAACTGGCCATGCTTGTTAGGAACAATAGACTTAAGCTAGAGGGGGGGTGAATAGCTTATAACTAAAAATTAAAAACTTTGAAGGAAATGAAGTGCGGAATTGAAAAATAGAAGGACACAAGAGATTTTTATACTGGTTCACACACAACTAATTTGTGGCTAATCCAGTCCTTCAAGATACACTTGAAGAGTTCACTATCTACCGTTAAGCTTCCGGGTGCTTAACAAACCGTTTACAGCCTAGGAATTCTAATCACAAGAATCCTACACACTTGCTTGAAGATACCTCACTTCAAGACTTCTCTCAAGGAAAGAAAATCACTCTTCCTATGAGTAGCTACAAGGGAACAAACCTCCCTTTCAGTGTATGAACAACACTATGAAGATTACTCAAACAAAAGCTCTCTCAAGAGTAGGTATGAGTTACAATTAAGCACTAATAAGGCAACTCTCAATAATCTCAAAGGAATTGG